TTGAGGGGGGGTGTCTTTACATTTCTTATTTTGAGAAGTATATTTTTAGTTAATATTTCCATTTATTGATGGGGTTATTTGTTTTATGCTGTTAAGTTTTTTGAGTTGTTTATATAGTCTGGATATTAATCCTTGGTCAGAAAAGTAGCTAGCAAAGATTTTATCCCATTCTATAGGCTGAGATTATTTCTCTAATCTGTGCTAAGGCAACTGATAGCACAGCTCCCAAAGATCCTTGTGTAATTCTCTCCCCTTGAATATGTGCTGGACCAAATGATTTAAGATTAGAATATGAGAGTTTCCTCTTATCTGTGATTTCTTCTTCTGTTGTTTTACTTATCTGATATTAGCCAGTGCTGGAAAATTGCAAGAGAAAACTTCTAGAAGAAAAAATCCATATGTTTTTAAATTGTGGCCCACGTTGGGCCACAATTAAGTCTCAATTGGGTAGAATGAAGTTTCATATCATCTTGCTCCATCTTGCATGGGATGTGAATCATCCCTTTCCTGGCATGTCAATGCCGTATACACTATCCAATATATAAGTTGCTTAGAAGGCCTTTTGGTTTTCAGATGAATATTTCGGGTTATATAACAGTGCTTATATTCAAGGAACCCATATTTACTTAATAGTTACTCCAATGTGCAAAAGTAATGACACTGGCTATCTGGATACGTCTAAGAAAAGCCTCAAAGTGCTTCTGTTAAGTGAAAAGGTAAAAGTTCTCAATAGTAAAAGAAAAACAATTGTATGCTGAAGCTACTAAGACCTATTGGAAGTTACTGCTGTTAATCCAATACTGTGCCTGTTTATAAATGAAACTTTATCATAGGTATGTTTGTACAGGAAAAATCATGGTATATATAGGATTTGGTGCTAACTGCAGTCTCAGGCATCCACTGGAGATCTTGACACTTATCCCTGTAGACAATGAAGGAAAACTGTATAGCAAAAACAATGAGTTGACGATTCTAACTAAGGCTATAAAAGACTTTGACTTATGTCTTTCTGGAATATTTTTCCTTTTGACTCTTGTACTGACTTGATCTGCTTACCATGTTATCACAAATGAGATATTTGCCAAATATTTCGCCACCTTATAATATGGGTTTCCTCATTGAGCATATGATGTTAATCTTCTTGCCAATAACCACCCTGATGATAATCCATAAAAATATATTTATGTTTTTCTATGATAGCTCTCTGTTTCCTTGGCCAATTGCCATATTAATTAGGGAAACACTAATTTCTGTGTTAAATAAGCCTCTCAAATATCAGTGGTTTGACAGAACCGCATTCTTCTTTCATGTAACAGGACCATGTGTGTGTTCCCTGTGAATGGTGGTGGAAACGGGGTTTCTCCCAATTATTCTGTGGGATCCCAAGGGATCCTTATTCTTTCTTTTTCTTATTTTCCCTTAGATTCTACCACCCCTTGCTTGCTTTTCACCAGTGGAGGTTGGAGGGGATTTCCCTTGTTCTTAACAACTTCAGTGTAGTGGCACAACTCAGTTTGCTAACTTTCCATTGATGAAAATCTGTCCTATGACCTGTTCTGAAATGACAGTGGTTGGAAAGTGGAGTCTGTCTTGAAAATAATCACTCAGTGACAATTCCAGAATCTGGCAGCGGGAACATAAATTTGTGGTAGACAGCTAGGTACTACTTTCAAGGTAGGAAGTGATCAAAGTCAAACCTTACTGCTGATGGGTCTGGCCTGCTGCTGATTGGCTTTATGGTTGGGAAGGATTCAAAGAAATAATAGCTTGTGAAGATTTCGGTGACCAAGTCTGAGTAGTGTGGACAGGTCAAAACCAATCATCAATGTCTCTCTACTGCTTACAGAATGAGTTCAAAGTCTTTAGCTTGACATTCACAAACTTCTATGCTCTCAAGTAGAGGCATCTTTACTATGTTTAAATTTCATTACTCCATTTCATGTGTTCTAAACTCTGATCAAATATTATTACCCATGTCAGTATAAGCATGTTGGATAATGCTTTCTTTTTGTTCTGGAAGCATTTGTCATTTAATAATCCTTTAATTCCACATTCAAAAGCCACCTTATCATGAAGCAACAATCAGACTTGACTCACCTGTTTTATCTCTTACCTTTCCCTCATCTGGACACTCACATACCTCAGATGTATTATGTATTTCCCAAACACAAGGAACAAATCAGTGCTAGCAAATATTCATTTTCTACTAAGAAATATATTTTAAAGGTACAGGAAAACAAAGAGTGTATTTATTAAATACTTTTAAAAAATTATAAAGGAATATTCCCTTAAGAATTTTGCTACCACACCCAGTACTTACTGAAAGCTTCCAGAGTGATTACCTGACATGTGAAAACTTGTCATTATTTATAGACATTCTGCCCATGAATCACAGGCACACACAGGCAACAACTTCCATTTAACTAGTGCTTTGATACATGTTGTCTCTGACAATTCCAGTCTATTTGATAATTTTAATCTATATAGTATGATTAATAAAACATAAAATTTCCCTAATATGTTATTTATTGTGGTATAAACCTATAAAAATATTAAATTGTCATCTTCTCTTTTGGCAATAAAACTCTCTATGAGACCATTTTGGCTGTCATAAAAATGTAAGTATGCATTAGTTTGTGTGTACTCTTATGAAATCAATACAATTATAAAATTGTTTATAGTCAAAATATGTTTGGAAAAATTTTGCTTAATGAAACTTATTCTGCCTTGCACTTTTAAATATTTGTGAACTTATTTTATGTTTTTTCAACTTGATTTTAAGCTTTTGGCAGTAGATATTGTGTCTTATATGTCTTTGAATTTCTAACAGTGCCTAACATAATGATATTCATTGAAAATCACCTTGCCTGAATTTGAAGGAAGTTTAGAGGGTATTTATTTAAGTGGCTTTGAAACTTTGCTTATTGGACACCTGGAGATGCAGCCTTAACCAATGTGCCTCTACTTTTATACATTATAAATATTGAGTAGTATTTCATTTTCACAATCACTTCACTTTCAAAAGTTAAGAGAGATTGAGCTTATCCAATCGTCTTATTTTATGGATGAAATAAACTGAGCACAGACTGCCTGTTATGTCTATCAGGATAGATTGGTCATCCTATAATAATAAATCCAGGTCTCAGTGGCTTAACATAAAGTGAAGGTTATTTTGCTGCTCCTGCTCCTTACTCCATGTAGAGAATAAGGAGTATCTTTTCAAAAAACTCATTCAAGAACCAAAGTTCTGTGGCAGGGGAAGGAAATGTGAATGATGTCTAGGTTTCTCAAGTGTCTGTTGTACACATTTCTTGGCTAAAGATGGTCATGTGATTATGCCTCACTTCAAAGGTATCAGTGTGTAAAATCCTACCTTGTGCTTCCAAGGAAAGCTGACATATTTTTTATAATCCCTAGAGAGGAAATACACTTAGAACACTTGACAACTCACTTACCCATTTATCAGTAGCTCCAGGATTAAATAATGACTATAATATATCCCTGTCTATTCTTTCCATTGTAATATGGAGAAGTAGAATATTAAATATTCAGAATAGATGCTGGTGAAGTTTGTTTTTTGGTTTGTTTTTTGTTTGTTTGTTTATAGGAGAAAAAAAGCAACAACAACAACAACAAAAACTAAACAAGACATGAGAAGTTTTGCTTGATTTTTCCTCCTCTCTCTAACATCTGTCCTGACTCTTGCTTGATTTTCCTTGGTATGATAACAAGCACATATGTGCTCTCTATGCAGATAGAATCACTTTGGTCCCCTGGTTCCTGCTAGTTGAAATCCTGTTTCTGTACTTTCATTGTACCTTCAGTTCCAGTAACATTTTGCTCTCCTGTTTTCTTTGTACTGCTGACTGTTCCTTCTTTCTTCAAGCTTTCTTCTCTCTCTCTCTCTCTCTCTCTCTCTCTCTCTTTCTCTCTCTCATCACTTCTTATTTCACTCTTCTTCTAAGACCAAACTTGAACACACTATAATGTCAACTTATTTGTTCACAATGGCTCACTGTCTGAGAATTAAAATAGTAATCAAAAATTGAGTCTAAATTCCAGGGCTAGTCCCTATAATATGTGGTAGCCTGGGTATGTTAGTTCACTTCATTAAGGCCTACATTTGCTTTAGTAAAAAATGATCATATTAGCTAGGCGCGGTGGCGCAAGCCTGTAATCCCAGCAGGAGGATCTCGAGTTCAAAGCCAGCCTCAGCAAAAGTGAGGTGCTAAGCAATTCAGTGAGACCTCGTCTCCAATAAAAATACAAAATAGGTCTAGGATGTGGCTTGGTGATCAAGTGCCCCTGATTTCAATTTCTGGTACCCTCCACAATCATCATATTACCCCATATGATTTTTAAAGAGAATAAAATGTGAATGGACTTGGTAAATAATAGGTACACTCTAAATGCTCTCTTATCTTCCTTTCCCCTTTATTTGCCCTAAAATTTTTTATTTCATATCTTTTTCTTTTAGTAAAATTAATGTTATTGCCTTAACCTCACTTTGCTACATCAAGTCACTTCACCTTTAATTCATTTTGAACAGTTCCACTGGACTATTATTGTGCACAGGATAAAAAACTCACTAACAAAATGATACTATGAGATATATTAAAGAAAGATTAAAGTTGAAATCCACTCAATATGTTATTAAGTTGACTTCAATATGATCTCAATTTACATAAACTCATTAATTCACCTTTGTGAACTTTTAAATTTTTTTTTTAATTGTAGATGGACACAATATATTTATTTATTTATTTTTATGTGGTGCTGAGGATCGAACCTAGTGCCTCCTCACACATGCTAGGCAAGCACTCTTCCACTGAGCTATAGCCCCAATCCTCTCCTTTGTGAACTTTTATAGATTAATTTGTTGTGCATTAAAATTCTATATATGCATATGGACTTCCCTTTTCCTCTACTTATTTCTCTCTCTTTTGTTCCTTTTTATTTTGTTTTTTTTCTTATTTCAAATGTTGTTTTGCCTTGTGAAGTGCCCTAGAGCTACTCCAGACCTTATCTTCTCAAATATCCTGATGTGTTCTGGATCAACACCAGTGACTCGATGATGATAGAAGCATCACACAGTGTCATGTGTAAGTATTTACATGATAGGAATGTGCTGGATTGGATAAGTCTACTGTTGTTATAAACAACTTTAAAATCTCAATAGATTTACAAAGCAGAAGACTATGGATTGCTCATATAACAGTTGAAAAAGGTGTTTAAGGATGGCCTTGTACAAAGTGATCAGAGAGCCAGGCACCTTTCATGATGGGCTTCACAGTCCCTTAGAGCTGTGGTGTCCATCATGGTAGTCACCAGCCTGCAGCAAACAAATGGGGACTTGAAATGTAGCTAGTTCTAAATGTAATAAGTGTGAATTATATAGCAATTTTGAAGATTTAGGATAAAAAAACATTACAGTGAATAAATAATTTTCATAATTGATTACTTGTGGAAATAATCGTTTTTATATATTAGGTTAAATAGATTATGTTATTAAAATTAATTTTACTGTCTGTTTTTAATTTTTTCACTTGTTTGGTAGAAAGCAAAATTTCACCTACATGCAGTAGCACATGCCTGTATTCGCAGCAACTCAGGAGGCTATGGCAGGAGAATCACAAGTTCAAGGCAAGCCTCAGCAACTTAGTAAGACTGTCTCAAAATAAAATAAAAAGAATTTTGAATATATATCAGAGGCAGAATGTCCCAGGGTTCATGGATTCAATACACAGAAACAAACACACACATTTAAAAAAAAAAAAAAAAAAAGCTTGGAATTTCACATGCAGAGTTCTCAAGTCTTAGATTTAGATCTTTTGCAACTAGTCATAGAAAACAGAAGAAGAAAGAGTATAATTAATTTTAATCTTTACATGAATCAGGCCTGAAAGATACATACATATATATATATATATATATATATATATATATATATATATATATATATATATAAAATTTATATCTACACAGCCTGGGCCAGAACTCAGACATATGACTACTCTTTTCTGAAAAAAGTCTGGGAGATGAATATAAGCATGTGTCCAGGCACAACAAGGAATCAATTGTGGTGACTACATAAGCCATCTTTTTAAAATATACAGTATGCTCTTATGCATATGTGTGTATGTATGCATTCGTGTCTGTGCTTGTTTGGGGGTATGCATGTGTGTATATCTGTGTATGTGAATAAATGTCTTGCCACCCCTGTTAGAGATCAGCTCCTTGAATCTTAACATTTTGGAATCTTTTTCTACACAGTCTTGTAGTCACTTAAGTATACAAAATCTATATATTTTTTACTGACTTGAATGTTTGTGAAAACATAAGTGCAGGAATGAATATACTTTTGAAATGTGTATACTTGGGGAAATGGTGGTGTGGTAGGATGTGGATATGGTGTAAATCAAGGAATAATTGGAAATCTGACAGAAAATTTTTACAGAAGACAGTTAACACCAGACGTAGGAATATATTCTTTTTTTAAATTGGCGCATTATAAAAGTGGGCTGCATTATGACATATTCATACATGCACATATTTTGGTTGATTTCATTTCATAACACCTCACCTTCTCATTCCTTCCAAACCTTTCTCTACTTGACTAGTCACCTTGTTATTTTTATGAAGAGGAATACATTCTTAAGGATATAAAATGCACTCTAATTTAATGACTGGATTGAGGTGATGGGAGATGGTGAGATTATTATTTATAAAGAACTGATACTAAAAAACAAAAAAAAAAAGAACTGATACTGTTTATTAATATACTAAAGTGAGGAAAAGCTTTGAATCAGTAATGCCCAGGAGAAGGCTCTTGATGATATATGGAGGTTAAGTCAGTTTATTTAAAATATATGTTAGGGCTGGGGTTGTGGCTCAGCGATAGAGTGCTCGCCTCGAATGTGTGAGGCCCTGGGTTCAATCCTCAGCACATGAAAATGAATAAATAAAATAAAGGTATTGTGCCCAATTATGAATAAAAAATAAATATTTAAAAATAAAATATGTGTTAGGAGAGCAGAAGGGGAAAGATGCTACATTGCTAGCCTGCTATCTTCTCTCCTAAAAATTCTGTTGCTCTTCCTTTTTAACACAAAGATCTCAACTTTAGTTTTTTGAGATGGCACACTGCAGACTTCTGTTTGTTTATTCTTCACATGCAAATTACCTCTTGTTTTCCAGCCAGTCTCCTCTTTCCAAAGTTAAAACACGAAAGGTGGAATACTTATGGCATTGTAGCCCCAAATAACAAGAAATGCTAAATTTTCTTCATTTTTAGAAAAATTCCATGTGGTGTGCCTGTGTGTCAGTCTCTTTTGTCATGCCAATTGGTTCAGAATCCTTCCTCTGTTGGTGAGGGTAGTTGAAGTTCATATACCTAAGAAAGAAACCACATGAGTGTCTGCAATTCACACATGGCTAGTAGTAGTGTCAGCAATAGTCATAGGTATTTAGTCTTGACCCATTTGCATTGTTTTGAAAAAATGATGTCATCTTGTATGTGTCTATGCTGTCTGAAATGCAGATATTGGAAAATCTACCACTAACATAGCAGCTGAACCATGTGTGTGGGTTGGAGCATATGCATATGTATGCACATTAATGTAAGATGTTCTACACTGCATGGTGGTTGTGGATAAGAACTTAGGAGGTTGAAGTAGTTGTGGATATAAATTAAACATCTTTTTATCTTATATAACCCTGTATCAAAGCATATAAATATGATTTGTGTTTTATATCTGCTATGAAAATATATACTTAAATACTCTTTTTTTTTTTAAAGTGCCTTCTCCTGCTATGAGCATTGTAGCACCTATTTTTGCCATTTGACCTCTATATCAATCCTTTGAATTAAGGAAAATAATTATTTCTATTTAATAGGCTAAAAACTAAAACAGGATTCAAATAAGAAAATGAGTTTCTCTTGTTCCTACCATGTCGTTATTTTTAGTGAGATGAGACTGTTGATGTGAGTCAGACAAGAAAAAACAAGTGGAGTCAAATATTAATTGGAATGTGATCCAATTCATGGGAACATAAATGACTTGCTTCAGAATCACCTAGGATGCTTGTTAACTCATGTTTCTAAGGCCAAAAAAAAAAAATCTATTGAATTATAATTCCCAGATATATAGTGCATGGAGTTTGCATCTGCTGTAATTATTTAGCTGCTTTAATGCATATTTAAGTTTGAAAACCACTGAAAAGTGGAACTCGATTAGGCCTTGGAGTTTAATAGTCATTGATTCGAACTGCAGTGGTTCCATTAAGCTATTTGACATTGCATCTCAGTTTTCTTGCATTGACAGTACAGATAATAAAACATACAATTATGGACAATTTTTCTTAATGTACAAGAGAAAATGCAGTGAAAAAATGATTTCTGAAGAAATGCTTCTTGCACAGTGTGGGTTTACCCTATTTTTGAGGGACGCAGGCAAATTCAAACCCTCTTCTTTGTTACCCACAAGAGAATAAATGAAGAAGAGAAAAATTGGTAAAAACAAATAAGAAATTCTTTTAAAAGAAAATAAACTTGGCTGTAGGTCATGCAAGCTTATTTGGCTAACTTAAGAAGCCTTCTGAAATACATGGGCTCTAAGCTTAGAAGGAAACATAAATCTTCTGAACTTCAGAGTTTAGGTTGTCTCTAGCACAGTATAACTCTGATCGTCTGCTTGGTTAAAATTTTTTTTAATTCAATTCCCCTGGCAATCCTAGAAGCAGGACATGAATAACTTTCAAAAGAAAAAAATCTTTGTTGTTTGCATAGCACAGCTTTCCATTCAGTTAGAAAAAAATTACTAAAATTTCCCTTGAAAAGCAGTCATTGAAATGTTCTGAAAAATTCAAAGAACTTTTTTGAAAATATCAGCTTCAAAACAAAATTTCTCAAGGTTTTTATAAAACCAAAATACCAAAACCCTGATGGGCGCTCTCATCTCTGAGCCATATGTTGTCAGCTCATCTGATGCTATGAATATTTTGGGGGAAAGAATTTTCTGGATCATGGAACCAGATTTTGCAATTTTAGCTTCCTGGAATTGGGCCATACATTAATGGAAACTTACTTTTGTCAGGCAGAGGAGTCAATAAGAATAATAAACCTTTCTTAAAAAAATAAAAAAAAGAATAATAAACCTTTCTTGAGCCAATATTTTTGTCCATACACTGAACTAAGCACTTGAAAAATAAAAGACAAATAAAACAAGATTTGTACTCTGTAGATATTGGAAGTTTCATATTTATAACTGCAGACAATAATTTTTGGTGTTAAGAAATCTCTATCAGCACTCATTCTTTCTCAGCTTCCTTTATGTACTCAAAGGGTAAACTGTCAACTTGATTGGTGTCATTAGAAACAAAAAATTTCTTTTAATATCCACTAAATAAAGGGATGTTGATGGGTGGCTTAGATGTGGTTATCGAGAATTTAGAATGATCATTGATCTGACCCTGACAACCTATATGAGGAAGATTAACCTTTTTGTCATTTCACCCAACCTTAGAAGGGGAAATTATTGAAAAAATATTTAAAGCATATTGTATTCACTTTTTACTTAATAAGATGGATAGTTCAATGCTAAAGAGATGGATCCATAAGAAATTGGTATGATTGATCATGTAATTGATGAAAGCTTAGAGAACTGATTTAGAAAATATATAGATGTGGTAAAATCCTGCTTTGTGTATTCTGGATAAGATATCAACTTTTATGAAGAAAATTCTAATCCAAAGCTGATAGGTTGATCACAGTCCTGTTAATTCTGACAACTGATATTGTAAAATACAAATTTAATTTTTAAATGCTCATTTCAGTTGTTCATATTTTTTTCATAGAATATTTAATAAGAGAATAAATATTTACATAGCAGAAAACAAATAAACCCAACTCAAAGACAGACCACACAGCCTAGAGTCACATTAAAGAAACTGCAGCTGTGATGTCACTTACAATAAGAAACCACACCTCTGGTTCTTCCACTGTTCATGGACACATGTGCCATGACTATTTCACAGGGACTCTGAAGAGACAAATTAAGAAAAGGTCTTTGAAAAATGTGAAAATGGTATGAATGTTTTGTCTATTATTGTAAAGTTCTTAAAAAATTAGTGTTACAGTAAAAATTCTCTGTGAAGTTGCATATTTACCTCTTGTGGCTATGTGGGAAGAAGGAATTCTTAAATAGTGAAACTACATAAATAAAAACAGAATAAAAAATGACCAAAACAAAGAGACATCAATTCAATTAGAGTCCATGAAAAATTATTTTTCAGAACTGAGCAAGGTTTGGTTTGAAGTATCCAAGCCTGTTCCACGAAGTATTATTTTTTCAAGGTGCTCTGTGAAAAAGAGTCCAAAAGATAACAACAACAACAACAACAAAAAATTGCATATGTTCCTTTAAAACTCACACTGAATATAAAAATACTATCGACTCTGAGAAGTCCTGCAAAGAAAAAAAATCTTTATTATTTTGTTTAACACAAAATTTCTTAAACTTATTTGATTTAAAAAAAAATCCCTCTTTTTTTTTTTTGACATATGGCAACATCCATTCATGACTGCTAAAAATATTTTTAAAATCCACAATTGGATACATCCTGTTCTAGTAGGATTTGAAAAGTTAGTTGACCAAAGTAGAATAAACACATTAGGCTTGGAAATTACTTAAGAAGCAGGAAGCAATCCTGTGTGGATGTCTTCCTCAAGTGACAATTATTATGATCCCATTTGTAGTATGGACTTAAGGTGTACAGAGCACACTCTAGATACACTGTTCTAAGGGAATAGTGATCCTTACTTATTCCAGAAATCCATTCTGCTGAAGGTCAGTAGAGATACTCAGTGATGATTTATTTATAGTTTGGAAATATTATCTACATACCAGAAGCAGCTTTTGCCCACAAACTTTCCTAATCACCCTGTTATTTTTAACTACCAGTTGAATCTATGGTGATGATGATCACAGGCAAATGAATGGACAGAATTTTGATTTATTTGGTTATTAAATTCTGTTTACTTTCTTCTAGCCATTATTATTATTATTATTATTATTATTATTATTATTATTATTTTACCTATAAATTACTTTTTATTTGTGGTGCTGGGGAAAGAATTCAGGGCCTTGCACATGCTAGGAAAGTGCTGTAGCTCATAGCTACACTCTCAACCCACAATGTCTTTTTAAGCCTTATTATCTGTCTTTAGTTTATTCAGCAGGTATTCAAGCAACTGCTTCATGCTTGGAACCATGGGAAACATTGGCAAAACAAGAGATAAAAAGACATGGTCTTTCTTTTGAAGGCTTGTTGATACAGCACTGAACAAATGTAATGTTTTATTTGCTTCTGGGGAAGTTCTGTCTGCTTTCAGGATTCTGATCCATCTGCCTCACTCCTATCACACTGCAAGTTCTACCACAGATTTATTACCTGTGTCTCAAATATGATTCAAATAATTGATTTCTAACTTTCAACCACTTTGTGCTTCGTACCTGGTTGCTGTCACCCAATTGAGCATTGACAAATTTCCAGAATACCTCTAGACCTAGGGTACTACCAGGCAGGACTATTGGGGTGCCTGTCTTTCCTTAAAGATTTCCTTGTGTCCTGGCTGCACTACTGTCACAGGGGGAACAATAAAATATTTAAAGGTGATATCATCATCAGATAAGTTTTTGGATGATACTTTCTTGATCCTATCAAAAGACTAAATGATGTCTGACAATTTAGGTGTGCCAATGGGAGTGAGATTTTTGGTGGTTTTAAAAGCAGTTCTCGTCCATAAAAATAATTTCAATATTTCCTTAGTCTTCTGAGTTAACATTAAATTTATTACACTATTAAACTCAATTGTTTGCCTTTCTTATGCTTCTTGATTTGCATATGTTGTTAATTTTATCCATCATTTTAAAGGAGACTTTTGATCAATGGTCAATCAACTTAGAATTTACAACCCAGAAAAAAATGCCCTTAGTAATCAGTCCATATTCAAATTTTATTAATTTTCTAAAATATTTAAAACTGCATTTATGAATTCAATATATTCAGCATTGACTTATTTATTTTATGGGGAATAAAACCCTCCCAAAGTACTGAACTGTTAAAAATATATTTAACAATTGAAATTATAAAATATAGTAAACTGCATTCTTTTAATCATTTCAAGAATGTTTATAATCTTTTTCAAGTGAAATTGGAAAGGTGAAATCAATCTTTTAATTATATATTTTTGCATATCTAATTAAATATCTGCATTTACATATTAATCACAAGACTAAATCTTAAAGATATTTATTTAGCTTTACAATTTAAACACCAAATCTGCACATTAAGCTTTGCACAAAATTATTAACATAGCTTTGATTTACTTAATAAATCCACTCAATTAAAAACAATTTCTCAGAGTTAAAAGACACCCGCAGGTGAACAACTTTATCTTTCTGAAAAAGTTGTTTTTTCCAATTCCAGAAACCCCAAGACCAGAGAATTTTGCCAGGACATAAAACAACAGAATTTCAGATCTATAAGGTAATTCTTATAATATTGCCAGGTGAGTTAAGTGTTGCTTGTGGTCTCTTTGACAATAGGATCCTAATGTACTACAAAGAGGTTAGTAATCTAGCCCATAATTCTGGATAATGGGTCAATTTTTTTCTGCCTGAATTGAATAAACATAAACATCTATAATTTCCTACAGTGTTGGTTTAAACTTGAATCCTCATGAAACAAATCTGGTTCCAAAGATACCCTAATGTTATTTCACTGGATAGTTCTTCTGTAAATATTTTAAAACTTTCTTTAATTAAAATAATTAATTGTAGCAAAATACTAATGATATAAAATTTACCACCTTAACTATTTTTAAATGTGCAGTTCAGTGACATTAACCCATTGAGTCCTAAGTTTTCAATTCTGTGAATATTCCAGTGAAATAGACATAGTGCTTTAAAATACATTTGAAATAACAATTTAGAGCTTTTAAAAAATTAATATCATTATTTTCTAATAATTATTATATAATTATATCATTAACATAATTACATTATATACATATACTATATTTAAGTTTTTATAGGTGTTCTACACCAGGGAAGACAGGACAAAATGGGTTAAGTACTTTCTCGAATTGTGCTACTATCAGCACCATTCATTCACAGAACACCTTTTGTCTTGCAAAATGGAAACTTTGTACCTATTAAACAACAGCTTTCCATTCCCTCCTCTCACCCTGCCCCACAATCCTGATAACTACCATTCTACTTTCTAAGAGTTTGAGTATTCTATGTACATTAAGTGGAATCATACAGCATGTATTATTTTGTGACTGGTTTATTTCAGTTAGCATAATTTTATGTTTTATCCACATTTTAACACAGGCATAATTTTCTTCCTTCTTAAGGGTATTGCCTATTGTATGTATATATCACATTTTCTTTATCCATTCATGTCTGTGGACACTTGGGTTGTTTTCCCTTTTTGTCATGTCTTCGGACACTTGGGTTGCTTTCCCTTTTTGTATGGCTAGTGTGAATGTGCAAATATTTCTTCAAGTTCCTGCTTTTAATTCTTTTGGTTATATATCTAGAAGTTGAATTATCAGATCATATAGTAATTCTATTATACTGTTTTAGCTTTCTTTAATTGTATGTCCTGATTAGTTTGAGAGAACCATGCTTACTAGTGGCATTCAACAAAAGCTACTGTTGATTTGAATAATAATTTTTTAAAAAACATGACCTGAATTTTATACTGTGTGACTGATTCACTTAATATTTTCTGAGTGTGGGATTATATGGACTGTATCCTCTCATCTCTCATGGCTTCGTTTTCAATTAATAGTGGGATAAGGCTTGGAGCCTTCCTGATTAAAGTGTAGTTTGTGGACCAACAGCACTGACAGAAACAGATGATTGTTAGAAAGATAGAGTCTCAGATTCCACACCAGTTTTCTGAACCAGAATCTTCATTTTAACAAGATACTGAGGTGATTGTTATGTAGCTAAAAATGTATTTCAAACAATGTCTTACAGGATTCTTCATGGCCCTTTTATTGTGGAAAATCTTTAAGCCCCAGAGTGGGCTCAGATTACCTAATATTTATTAAGACTTTTGATGTTTTCTTATAGTCTTAATCCACATCTCAGTGGATTAAGACTAAGAAAAATCTTGCTTATAAATTATAGTGACAATGAACATTGGAACATTCTAGGATGCAGGATATCTGGAAAGTCAATGATTTAAATGATATTAGGCTAGAGGTCAGAGGCTTGTGAAAACAGAAGTGAAGGCAAAGTATCTGATAAAGAAACTACCAACACACAGTAAACATTTAAAGGGCAGTGATCATTTGTTTTTTAACTTCCTATCACTGGAACCTTGTATTGTAACGTGGCACATATTAGATGCTGAGTTAATATTTACCCAGTTGAGTATTTGCAGAGCTGATGAAAACCAAGTTGGGGATTTAGGCACACTGGTCTGCAATCACAGCAGGAGCAGAGGGTGGCTATGAAGTCTGTCATAAGCAGCAGTGTTAACCCTTCTGAGGACTGAGATATTTTTGAGGATTAGATCCAGGGCAGTGATATCTGTCTGTACTTTGACCTAAAGCAGCTCTGCCAGAGGAGTCTGGGGAATTTTAAGTTCTCACAGTGTGAAGCTGGACTCTAAATATAATAGGGTAGACTTTGGTCTTTAGGAAATCACTTTTTAAAACAGGCCAAATGATTGCAGAGAAAGGTGACCTAGCTTTGAGAAAACCCAATACATAAATATCAGAACTGCCAAAAGAGATAAATGTTACTGTCATGAAACTGCTTTAAATTTCCATCCCAAACCTCATTTTGAAATAGTTTTATTTTAAAAATGTTCTTTTCTTTAGGAAGAACATAAACTCTTTCAGGAAACTGCTCTGGGAACTCTGTATTAGGACAGGCTGGGAACTCAATTTATTACTAGAGTGTTTCTGAAAGAAGATCTATTGGACATACAGTTCAAGGTCACCTAGCTCCTAATTCCAATGAAAGTAAAAAACATAGCAAGTACTTGTAATGTTTCCTTTAAATAAGGAAAAAAAAAGGCAATGTTTTTCTTAAAGGCTCTGGTTTTAGATGTTAAAAGTAATCTTAGGCAGTCAGAAGAGATACTCATGGGCAAACAGGGAGCTTGAATTGGAAAAGAAGAGTCTCTTTAATAGATTCAGGTTGTAATTGGGACAAAAGAGAATTCGTCCCTAGGCTACCCTGGAAAGAGCTTGAAGACTGGCCCTGCGACAGTGTTGATACCTAAAGAATGTTGACACCTGACCACACAAATCTTGAAGACTTGAAATCTCAATAACTTGTAACCTACAATGTGGGGAATTTGACTTAAAATTAGAATTCAAGATAAAATGACAAAAAGTCAAAGATCAAGAAAAATATAATAGTCATGTTGTAGGGATTTTCTTTTTTAAAGATTTCTCTAAAATGTGTTATTGAAATTTACACAGTGAATTTCCAACAGCTGTGCCAAGGTCTATAGGAGATGGAGAATAAGGAAAAAATGTTTAAAATTTACAATTTGAGGCAGTGCAAATGAGCTACATTTGTGCTAAAAATACAGCATTCTTTGAATAGGATCACAGGAAATGATAATACTTCTCTTAGGAATAATAATTGAAGAGGTGAAATCCCTGTTGCTTCTTCAGTGAAGAATTCTTAGGTAGAAAGAGAAGGTGATAAAATATTTAGATAAAAGGAATGAAAGAGCAAAGATTTGTAATATACCTTTATTTAGCCCCACTGTATACCAAGTTGTATATCTCAGCACTAGTTTAAAAAAAGTGAATGTGAAACAAAAGTGTAAAAAAAATGTGAGAAAGAGTGCATGCACTAGTCTTAAAGATTTGATTCTCTGTACAAACTAGGGACTGATGATAGAGATCCTTGAACACAAGATGTATCTGATTATTGAAACCAATAAACATTAGCAGCATAGAAAGTTATATTCCAGTGAATTAAGTAGAAAATCATTTCTAGTTTTCCTTTGAATCTCCAAGGACACATAGAGGGACCACCACCTGGTGGCAGGGTACATACATTGCACCATCTGTTGAAAGAAAGAAGAGATATTCTGAAGTTCCAAACTGTGAGCTTTTATTTGTAAAGTGATAAAACAACATGTTTACAGGATAAGAGGTGGTTACATATTGTATAATTAAAAGCTTCCTCCCTATTTCTTTTTAAATAGAGAAATACTCAGGTGCTCCTAAAATGAATTCCAGCACTCCTCTACACTTAAACCTGGTCTATACTTAAAGATAAAAATGGTAAGATTTCTATTTATCTGTCTGAACTTAATTGACAATTATAACCTCACCAACTGTCTAATGACAACATCAGCATATGATGTTCCATTTATCCTCCTTCCTGCAAATGTTGACTGATCATTGATGCCCAAGACAACTGTGGAAGACACATGTTGAAGACAGCAGGGACTCCATGAGGTTATATCCCTAAATGGAACAGAACTGTCCTCTTTCCTCTCCACTTACACCCCATTCCACACCAACTATTGAGCTTTACTTCAATGAAAAGCTGACTTTCTCACCTATTTGTGGATTTGCCTGTTATACAAATTCAATTTAATATACTATGTAACATCATCAGATAGATATTTTATTTTGGCATTTTGACTGTGTGTCAGCAAATAATACACAACATGACAACTCTGGGTTGGGTAAAAATATCCAATTTTGGATGAGGGTACAATTATCATTAAGAGATTCCAGTAAATTCAGAATCAAAGACTATGTATATGAATTCTTTTTCTATGGCTATGGATACAAATGAGAGGAAAATAGATATTAAATGGCTTGCCTAACAGCTGGGGTGTGTAGGGATACCTGTGTGTGTGCATGAGTGAATATCTGTGCTTGGTTGGTGTCTTTTCCATTATTCTAAATAATTATTAAATCTAACCTGATTGTCTCTTGTATTTATTTGTCAGTGGTAAAAATGAAAAGGTAGTTTGGTTATTATCTTTTAAAAATAATTTTCTGTACTTAAGACATAGTTAATACTTCTGCTTTATCTGAGGTGCATATTGCTTTCATTCTTTACCTCACTGACTGTTTCCTTTGCTGAGAAGAAGTTTTCCAGTTTGAATCCATCCCATTTATTGATTCTTGATTTTATTTCTTGTGCTTTAGGAATCTTGTTTAGGAACTGAGGACTTAATCTGACATGATGAAGATTCGGGCCTACTTTTTCTTATATTAGGCTCAGGGTCTCTGGTCTAATTCCTAGATCCTTGATCCATTTTGAGTTGAGTTTTGTGCATGGTGAGAGATAGGGGATTAATTTCATTTTTCTATATATAGATTTATAGTTATCCCATCACCATTTGTTGAAGAGGCTCTCTTTTCACCAATATATGTTTTTGGTGCCTTTGTCTAGCATTTATGTGGATTTGTTTCTGGGTCTTCTTTTTTGTACCATTGGTCTACAAATCTGTTTTGGTGTTAATACCATGCTGTTTTTGTTACTGTTGCTCTGTAGTATAGTTTAAGGTCTGGTTCAAGAGATGCCATCTGCTTCACTCTTCTTGCTTAGGATTGCTTTGGCTATTCTGGGTCTCTTATTTTTCCAGATGAATTTCATGATTGCTTTTTCTATGAGGAATGTCGTTAGGATTTTGATTGGAATTCCATTAAGTCTGTATTGTGCTTTTGGTATTATTGTCATTTTGACAATATTAATTCTGCCTATTCAAGAAGAAGGGAGATCTTTCAATCTTATAAGGTCTTATTTAATTTCTTTCTTTAGCATTCTGCAGTATTCATCATAGAGGTCTTTTACCTGTTTTGTTAAGTTGATTTCCAAGTTTTTTTTTTTTTTTGAGGCTATTATTAATGCTAAGTGAAGTAAGCCAATCCCCCAAAACCAAAGGCCAAATATTTTTTTCTGATAAGTGGATGCTGATCCATAATGGAGGTTGGGGGGAGGGGAAGCATGGGAGGAATAGAGGAACTTTGGACAGGGCAACGGGGAGGGAAAGAAAGGGAGAGAACAGTGGAGTAGAAAAGATGGTGGAATGAGATGGACATCATTACCCTAAGTACATGTATGAAGACATGAATGGTGTGACTCTATTTTGTGTACAACCAGAGACATGAAAATTTGTGCTCCATTTGTGTACTATGAATTGAAATGCATTCTGCTGTTATGTATAACAAATTAGAACAAATAAATAAATTAATAAATTGAAAAAATACTTCTGCTTTATCTTCCCCAGCTTTAATAATCCAAATTCCATAAAATTCCTGAACTTAGTTTATCAAAACAAATTCTACATGTTTACGAGTCTTCCTTTGGTGTGTGACAGTTTTCTCATTGACCTTGTCGATTTCCAGCAATTGTGTGTGTTATTTTACATATCATCGCTCATAATATGATGGAATAATTAGCATTTATGGCAGAGGAATTATGGTGTGCAAGAAACCATGCAGGCATTATGTGACCACAACTTTGTTGTCACAGCTGAAACACAAGGAGACAGATCAGAATCATGTTAACAGGAGCCTTGAAGCAGGACTTTAAATTAGGACTATGTTCCCAGTGCCTAATATCAATATTGACTCTTGATCTTTGGAAAACCAAATCAAACCAAATTAAGTTTGTAGGTTGGGGAAGAAGAGGTTGAATTCTGCGGGGGAGAAATGCTGGGCAGAAAAGCATGGCTCAGACACACTGATATCTTTCAGTGCATTCTATATAATTGACTATAATTTCTCCAACTCATCCAGAGTTGCTTCTTTGTTTAACCAGAGGCCTCAGCCCCTTCTGTCTTAAAATGACTCAGAAAATGACAGTCCTCCAAAAACCAGCTTCCTTCTTCTAGGCATGCCAAAGTTCAGGAAGGCATTCCATCACCTCTGTGTTCTTCTCAACATTTTTGGGAACAGCTGAGAAATCTCTATTATAATTACAGAAACTGTAACAGAGACTTATTTAAAGATTATTGGAAAGTACAGAAACTAACTAAGAAGGATTAGTGTTTGAATTCTGCTGGGGACACAGTGGAAAGTAATATGGCCACAGGCTACAGAAGCGTTTGATTTTTTTGAATGTCAGATGGGCGCCTAAGACAGAGGTTCAAGTCTTGCTGCCTTTCAGTGTGTTACCCAGAGAGTTGACAGACAGACAGAGGCACCACTTTCCTCCTGTTTTTGTTTAGAGAAAAAGTACTGCCAAAACCACATCCTGTTCTGAGGCTGCATCTGAGAAGATGCCTGGCACTGCAGCATTAATTAGGAAGTGCCCCTTCCGGTGGCCAGACCCTGTCTTGCTGAGATCACACTGTCAGATGCAGGCCAACTATCCAGCTCCTCCAGGTGGACCACAAAAGGAGGGTTTTTCACCCAAGTGGAATCGGTGCCTGTGCTAAGCTCTTGCAGGTTAGAAATTCACTCTTGCATATCTTATGTTTCTCAATGACACCTCCAAGGATTTCATTTCTTTAGACTTTAAGAGATCTTAAAGGAGATAAAGAGTGAGGATTATCAGGCAGTCACTTGAAGAACAATAGACAAAGGCAGAGGCATCAGAAAAACACAGCAGTGCCCGCACACATCAATGCTTTGTTGTGATATGAGATCATGGTAATTTTTAAATGTTGTAATTTGGCAAATTGGATCTTCAAATAGGTGAGGAGGTTCACCTTAAAAAATAGCACTTTTACACAGGGATTGATTGCTCTTTTTGTAGTTTCTCTTCTCTGAGCGTTTGTTGTGTGTGTTTAATGCTCTACCCTTTGTTTTCCCAGCCCCACAGAAAGTGTGCTACTCTCTGCTGGTTTCTTATGATAGCTTTGCTCACTGAGGCAAAGCCGCCCCTGGAACTGTTCAATACATCTGACTGGCAGCTATCCTCATGTGTAGCAGAAAGACCCTGAAAACGTACTTCCTCCCCCACCCCTATTTCTAAGATATGGCTGGAGTCAATGAAAATCAATTAACTGTTACCTGTCTAAATTTTATATCATCAAAGAATATCACATGTTTTTTTCAAACATACAGCAATTTTTCTTCTTTTTTTTAAGTGAAATTAAATTACTGAATGATGAATAATTTACTCGCTAAGTCCTTTTAAGACTTTCATGTTTGTCTTTACCTTTTAAATAAATGTATACACATGTGCCATAGTTTAAGGCAAAGAAAATAGGTAATATTAATTTAATTACAGTGGTAACAGTAGTAAAAACTCTACAGTTATGTTGGCAGTATGGTGACTGATCCTGCTCTACTTAAGCAGATCTGCATAATTTATTTAATGAGGATAAGATGTCATATTTTGTGATTAACCAAAGATAATCTAACATTACTCACCTATCTTTTCTAACATCAAAAAATGTCAAATCCTTTATGTATCTAATCAAAAAAGGATGGCAAATATTGCTGATTATTCAGCTTGCTCTGGTTGAGTTTGAATAAAAGGGAAAAAAGATTTTGCAACTGTAAGGAGAAATAATGACTAGAATCACTACTAAGGCTAGTGCCCACTTCACCCAAAGAGAGTTGTCCAAAATTTTGCCAACTCCTTTAATTTTATTTGCAATAATCAACCCCCAATGTGTGAAAACTTTGAGTTTCTTATATTACCACATGGATATTCTCATAATTCTGTGAACTTCCTTATTCTTTCTATATTCCTATAGTCCTCAAATGTGACCTTCTATATTTATTGCTCTGTACCCAAGCAACTGCCTCATACTCTCAGCCTCATCTAGAGCTTGCCTTTCCTTGATTCTACTGGAATCTCTTATGAGGTACCCATCCTCTAGGAAACTTTTTTTTTAGGTGTTTATTACCTAGTATCTATTGAGTTTCATTTTTTCTTTCCTCCACCACCTTCCATAATCCTGGAATTTGAGATTCCTTTCAGCATACCAGACTCTTTCCCTCTCTACCCAGATTCTGTGCTTTGTTTACTAAAGTTTCTGTAATCCAATAAATTCTTATGTAAAGTTCTATAATTTGCAGAATAATCACTCTGACAAAGCATTTTGTGGATGGCTTATCTAATACCATGTCCTCTCTGTTCCTCAACCCCTCCATCTCCACTGACCTCCACCTCTATATTAAATCACCACTTGGATTTTATCAAAAGACACAAATTCTCCTCTCTCATAATCACTATTTCACTTCTTTGGCCAAGATAGTTTCTTCTTCCTTCTTGATTGTTCAGTTTTTTTTTTTTTTTAATTTATTCAGTATCTGCACCTCACTGGCCTATAATGTATTGACCATTCTATTTTCTCCTATCCATTAAACCACCTTCTTTTGTCAGTTCCTTTCATTTTTAATTTGTATTATCATAGTTTGGCACCTCAAAAACCCACTAGGTGATGTTGTTTGTTACTTCATTATTTGATTTCTTCTCTCTCTCTCTCTCTCTCTCTCTCTCTCTGTGTGTGTGTGTGTGTGTGTGTCTTTCTCTCTCTCTCTTATATGCTGCAAAAGTCCCATTCTTATACTTTTGGAAAAATTCTTCATACCTACACCAAGAGCCTGAGAAATGCTAAGGAAAACTTTACAAAGTGATTTTAAACTGGTTTCATTTAAACTCAAAATCAATGTCAAATGGATTGTCCACACAGACCCGTAATACTATTCCAACTCACTCTCTTATTAGGATGTTTCTTTTCTGAGGCTGCTAAACTTTTGAGTATGTTCTTCATCCCTTCTGTTTACCTCTTTGCTTTCTCTAATTTTATGGAGAAAATGGCTGCCATCTGATGGCGATTTCCTCATCTTTGCCTTGTAAATCAGCAAAGCTCATTGGCATCAGCTCCTAGTCCATGC